CGAAAAAAAGAACAAATGAGCATAGGGGCAAAATCGAACTAAGTCAACCTAAAACTCCTTTTTTCCTCTACCATGGCAGAAGAATACAGGCATTGATTTGTCAAAAAATTTAAATGTTTTTTCAAATATAAGTAGATTTTTATATGTTTTCTTATACCGCCTCATTCGGAGGTTATTATAATTCACATTTTTCAACAATTTTTACAAATTTAAATAATTTTTCATTCAACATTTTCCATTCCAAAATTGGTTTGACAGTTCACTGTCCCAGCAGCTGTGTCGATGCGTCTACCTATATTCTTCTACCATGTCATCTACGAAGAAGCCAGTCAAAAATATGCTTCATCTATTTTCACCTTAAAACGTACATCTACCATGACACCTGGCAAAATGTAAGTTAACTCGCAAAAATGCTCTTATGTAAACATGTTATTAGTTAAAAAAATTTAATTTAGAGCAGTTCCACATAATTTTTCAAATTAAAACCAAAACGTATTAATGGAGAATATTCTAAAATTTTAGTAACAAATGAATAAATTTTGAAGAAAAAAAAAAAAAAAAAAGAACCCAAAATAAATTCAACAAGTTACAGTTTAATAATAATAAAAATTTATTTTTAATAAGAGAACATTTTTTTTTTAAATTTACAATTTGAAAATGTAGAGAGAGAGAAAAATAAAACAATTTAATAAATTACAAAAAAAAATACATATAAATAAAATAATTAACAATAATGATAATAATAATTAATAATAGCAAATTCCAAACGATTAGAGAGTAATAATAAAAAGTTAAACCCAACAAAATGACTAAATTAGAGATTCTTTAAGGATACCAATTATTTTAGAGTAATGATAATAAATTGCGATTATGTTTTGTTGTAATGCTTTTACATTGGTTTTTCTTATTTTCTGTTTCTTTTTATGTTTTTGGTTTGTTTAGGTTAAGTTCTCTTAGCTTAATTTAAGTTTAAATAGCATTATTGATGTTCCATTTTTTTATTTGAATTTGAATCATTTTTTTTTGTTCTCCTTTTGCTTTGCATTTGCAATTTTTATTTTCTATTCTTCTCAGAGCCTTAACAAATTGGTTTAATATATATGTTTTGTTGTTGTTTACTTTTTTCTTCTTCTTCTAAGATTCCTTTTCAATATTCATTTTTTTTTTGGTTGTTTTTATATTTTAATCCTTATTCTTTTGTTTGTTTTGTAATTAAAAAATATATATGTATGACTAACAATTGTTTAAAGTTTTTAAAAAAGATGGCACGTATAAGACCACATACACTATGATCATTAGTAGTAGTAGTAGTAATAGTAGTTGTTGTAATAGTTCTTGTTGTTGTTGTAATTGTATTAGTTGTTGTGTGTGGGGGTAAGAGGAGGCTGAAGAAGGATCCGTAAACACCATTTTCATATGTGACATCCCGAAAACGTTAAAAAAAAGGTTCGAAATGAGAACTCCTGGGGTATCTTCGATATTATATTAGACTTTCAAATGGGGTTTTCATTTAGTAGAGGGACTAGAATAAAGAAAAGAGGTTTCTGGAGGAACATCTGCAAAGTATATAGCATTTTCTAGGAATATAAAACCAACAAGAGGTCTTTCTTTATAAAGAAGGACTCTAGGGATCCATTTAAACAACGAAGCTCTTTTGAGTTGCTTTAATACCGGAAAACCCTCTGGATGTCCTTCTATACACAGGTGCCCTCTAGAGGTCCTTTGATACAAATAGAGAAGAACCCTAGGTTTCATTTAAACAACGAAACCCTCTAGAGTTCCTCCAATACCTTCAATAGAAAAAAGGCCTTTAGAGGCCGCTCTATACTCCTCCTAGAGTTCCTTCACGGAGGCGGGCTGTAGAGGCCCCTTACATACAGCAAAGCCATTTAGAGTTCCGTCAATGTAGAAAAGCCCTCTGGAAGACATTTTATACTGAGGCGGCCTCTGCAGGCCCTTCTTTGGTTATTCTATACAAATAGAGAAGGACTCGAGGGTTCATTTTGACAATGAAACCCTCTAGAGTTCCTTCAATACCATCAAGACAGAAACGGATTTTAGAGGCCAATTTTCTGCAGAAAAGATCTTTAGGGTACCTTTAATACAGAAAAAGTCTCTGGGATTCTTTCGGCCTCTAGAGGTCCTTCCATACAAATAGAGAAGAAATCCGGAGGTTCATTCAAACAACGAAGCCCTCTAGAGTTCCTTCAATACCTTCCTACCTTTAGAAGAGCCCTTTTCGGTATTGAAGGAACTCTAGAGGTCATCTCTGCATAGAGGGGGCCTCTAAAGGCTTTTTCTGTATTGGAGGAACTCTAGAAGGTTTCTATGCAGAGAAGACTTCTAGAGTTCCTTCAATGCAGAAAAGGTCTCTGGATGTCGGAGACGAGTTCTGGAGGCCCTTCTTTGCGAAATTGGACTCAAGAGGTCCCCTTCTGTACAAATAAAGAAGTACTCTAAGAATTCATTTGAACAACGAAGCCTTCGAAAGTTCCTTTCGATACAGAAAAGGCCTTTAGAGATCCTTCCATACAAAGAAGTGCCCTAGAATTCCTTCAATACAGGAAGTCATTTTATACGGAGGCGGACTCTAGAAATCCTTCTGTGCAGAATCGGACTATAGAGGTCCTTCCATACAAATAGAAAAGTACTATAGAAGTACATTTGAACAACAAAGCCCTTTTGGAGTTCCTTCGATGCAGAAAAGGTATTTAGAGGTCCTTTCATACAGCGAAGTCCTCTGGAGTTCCTTCAATACAGAAAAGGCCTCTGGAAGTCCTTCTATACGGAGACAACATCTGGAAACCCTTTTTTGCAGAATCAAACTCTAGACGTCGTTCCATACAAATAGAGAAGGATTGTACGATTCAGAACCTCTCTAGCGTTCCTTTAAGTCAAAAAAGGCTTGGAGAGACCCTTCTATGCAGAAAAGCCCTCCTTAAAATTAGAAAACCCCTCTGAAAGCCCTTCTATAAGGAAGCTGCCTCTAAACATCCTTCTATACAGAGAGTAGAACTCTAAAAGTCCTTGTTGACAGAGGCAATCTCTGGAGGCACTTCTATTCAAAGAAGGCCTCTTGAAGACCTTTTTTATAGAGAAGGTCTCTTGAGGTCTTGTTTTAGCTAAACCTCTTTTTATAGAGATACCTCTAGAAGTTTATTTTAAAAACGATTCCATACAAATAGAGAAGAATTCTAAAGACTCATCTATACAACGAAGCCCTCTGGAGTTCCTTTAAGACAAAAAAAGGCTTTTAGATACCCTACTATGCAGAAAAGCCCTCTAGAGCTCTACTTAAAAAAACCGAAAAGCCCTCTCGAAGTCCTTTTATAAGGAAGCGGTCACTAAACATCCTTCTATACAGAGAATGGAACTTTTGAAGTCCTTTTTGACAAAGGCGATCTCTGGAGGTACTTCTAGGCAAAGAAGGACTCTAGAAGCCCTTCTCTATAGAAAAGGTCTCTGGAGGTCCTGTTTTAAATCATCCTCTATTTATGAAAAAAGTTTCAGAGAGATCTCTAGAAGTTTCTTTTAAAAAAGGTTCCATACAAATAGAGAAGAATTCTAGAGAATCATCTAAACGACGAAGCCCTCTGGAGTTCCTTTAAGACAAAAAAAAGGCTTTTAGAGACCCTCCTATGCAGAAAAGTCCTCTAGAGCCCTACTTAAAAAACCGAAAAGCCCTCTCGAACTCCTTTTATAAGGAAGCGGTCTCTAAACAACCTTCTATACAGAGAATGGAACTCTAAAAATCCTTGTTGACAGAGGCAATCTCTGGAGGCACTTCTAGGCAAAGAAGGACTCTAGAAGCCTTTGTATATAGAGAAGGTTTCTGGAGGTCCTTTTTCAGATAATCCTCTATTAATAAAAAAAAGTGTTACACAGAGTTCTAGAAGTTTTTTTTACATATATCTATAAGACTTCTGGAGATTCTTCATCTGAACATGGTAGACTCTTCAGGACTTCTTTTCTCACAATATCTCTTAAAGGTTAGGATACACACAATGTTAGAATCATATGTAAACTACTTTTACTACATTTCTGTAAAGCATTTTTATGACATATTTTAGGGCGCAACTTTTTATCTGAAAAGAAAACGATTTATAAAGTTTAGTATATATTAATATATTTATAGTATATGTGTTATATAAATATAATATTTGTATATTTATATAGCAAAGTATTTCGTTTTTTGGTTAAAAAATGCGCCTAAAAGTCTGCTACGAAAAAGGTTAATTTTAAAATGTTAATAAATCACTTTACATATGACTCTAACACGATGTGGAAACTGGCATTAAGTTAAGGATTTCCTTTTCAGAAAATCCCATATGAAAACTGAGTTACAGATTTTTTTTTTTAATTTTTGATGGATAAGGTTACAGGAGCAATGGAAAAAGGGGGGACGGAGAAACTCGGATGGGTTATAAGGCTAGAGAAAAGGATCGTTTTTTTTAGAATATAGTTAAGGTTAAGTTTTTTTTGGTTTGGTTTAAAACACAATGTTAAATGTTGACTACAAATGGAATGAGTTACAATTGTTGTTGTTGTTATTTTTAGTTAAATTTCTTTTCTTTTTTTATAGAAAATTAAAAAAGGATTTTCTTTTTGCTTTTCTTTTTTCTTTCAAATCGAAATCATAAGTTCAACTTTTAAAGTAATTTCTTAGTGGGTTTTTTTGTTTTTTCTTTTCTTTTCTTCATTTTTTGTTTGTTTCTCTTTTAAAGGTTAGGTGTTTAAAGATTAGTTAGAGCTATCTAAAATTTATCGTTAGGAAATTGTTGTTGTTGTTGTTTTTTGGTTTTCTCATTATAAGTTACAAGTTTAGACAGTTAGAATTTAAAAAGACATAGTGACAGAGATAGAGAGAGAGAGGCAGAGAGATCGATAGATAGATAGATAGAGAGTGAGAAAGACAGAGAGCGAGCGATAGACGACAGATTTGTTATAAAATTGAATTTTATGATTTTTTTCTTTTCTGTTTTGTTTTCTTTTTTTCATCATTATCATTATTAATAATAAATAGTGTGTTGTTGTTGTTTTTTGCTTATTTTTTATTTATTTATTTCATCTTTGTTTGTTTCTTTTTCTTTTGGTTTGTAATTTATTTAACTTCATAAATGTGATTTTATTTCTGGTATGATTTTTCTTTTTCGGTTTTTATTTTTTGTGTGGTTTTGGAAAAAATTCTTTCGAAAAAATTTTAAAAATTAATTTAAATGTATTCTGCTGTTGTTGTTTTTTTTATTATATATTTTCTTTTGATATATGCTAAAAATTATTAAGTAATTACTTCTTTTATCTTAATTTGCATTACAGTTGCTGCTGCTATTGTGGTTGCTTTTGTTGTTTTTTTTTTTGGTTGTTGTTGTTTTTCGGCTTGCATATTTCATGCTCCTAAAAAAGAGAGATACATTTTATTAGATATAACAATTTTTAATTATTTAATAATTTTAATAAAAAGAAGTTAAAGAAAAGGCTATAGTTTTTGGTTTCTCCCCCCAAAGCCGAAGGTTATTCAGGTTAACGATCTTCAGCCCAATTAGCATGGTATAATTATTACAAGTTAGCTCCAAAACCCAGCGGATTTGATTGACGCTAGTGTCAAATTCGATAGGACATTTTGTGTTTAAATTCTCTGTTTATACCCTCCACCTCGAAATAAACATTTTAGACCCCGCAAAGCGATATCAGTGCGTCTGTTAGTCTTTGGAAATCACTCTAGCTTCCGAACAAAATGAAGTAGATTGATAAAATTTTACTCAAATATATAATATGTCTGCGGGACTTTTGGTATTTATAATGGGCCATGTAGGTCCACGGCTTCGCATAGCCCCCATATAATGATACCTCCCTATTTTCGGTATTTTGATGATTTTAGCGACATTATTCACCGGAATTGTTTCAAATTTGGTATTTGAAGTTCGTAATGGATACAACAGCCTAAGACAGAAAATTTTCTGTGCAGGTCCACGTCTTCGTATAGCCCCCATATAACGGTACCTCCCCATATTCGGAATTTTGATGATTTTAGCGACATTATTCACCGGAAATTTTTAAAAATTGGTATTTGAAGTTCGTAATGGATACTACAGAATACGACAGAAAATTTTCTGTGCAGGTCCACGTCTTCGTATAGCCCTCATATAACAGTTCCTCCCGATATTCGGTATTTTGATAATTTATGGATACAACAGCCTAAGACAGAAAATTTTCTGTGCAGGTCCACGTCTTCGTATAGCCCCCATATAACGGCACCTCCTGATATTCGGTTTTTTTTTTGATGATTTTAGTTTCAAATTTGGTATTTGAAGTTCGTAATGAATACTACAGCCTATGACAGAAGATTGTCTGTGCAGGTCCACGTCTTCTTATAATCCCCATATAACGGTACCTCCCGATATTCGGTATTTTGATGATTTTAGCGACATTATTCACCGGAAATGTTTCAAATTTGGTATTTGCAGTTCGTAATGGATACTACAGCCTAAGACAGAAAATTTTCTGTGCGGGTCCACCTCTTCGTATAGCAATCATGCAAAGGTACCCCCCGATATTCGGTATATTGATGATTTTAGCGACATTATAAAGCGGAATTGTTTCTAAGATTGGTATTTGGCTTATGACAAAATTTGCCTATGCAGGTCCACGTCATCGTATAGACCCTAATATAATGGCCACATTCTGTATTTTTAAAATTTAAAAAGAATTTTTAACGAATTTTATTCATTCCAAATGGTGGAGGGCATTCAAAGTTTGGCCTGGCCGAACATACAGCTTTTTTTACTTGTTTCATATACAGTAATGGCCAAAAGTCTAAAGAGAGTTGGTTGCTTATTTCGCTTTCTTTGAGCGTTTTGTTATTCAAAATCTTGAGCCCTATGTGGGGGAGGTACCAGAATAAATGGTCCGATCTTTACCGTCTTCACAGCAGATCTTGTGTTAGTGGTAATAATGGGATGTGTTAAATATGAAGAGAACTGAATGCCTATTTCGGATTTTATGATCACTTTGGTTATTCAAAACTTTGGCCCTTTGTGTGGGAGGTACCAGACGGAATGGTCCGATCTCTACCATCTTTATAACAAATCTTGTGTTGATGGAAATATTGGGAGGTTCCAAGTCTGAATGGAATCGGATGTTAATTTCGCGTTTTAAGAGCTTCATGAATATTCAAAATTTTGACCCTTTGTGGGGGGAGGTACCAGAAGGGGTGTACCGATATATTCCTTCTTCGCACCAGACCTTGGGTTAATAAAAATTTTGTGATGTGTGTAATTTGAAGACAATCGGACACTTACTTATATCACATTTTATAAGAGTTATAATTATTCGAATTTTTGACCCTTTGTGGGGAAGGTACTTGATGGAGTGGACCGATATTGTTTGTTTTTACATTTGACCGAGAACTGAGGCAAATATTCGGATTTGCAAAGTTTGAGCAAAATCGGATTATTGCTTCTCTTTCTGTGCAAAAAATATTTTTTTTTTGAAAATGTTAGCATTTTGTGGCAGAGGTACCAAAAAGAGTGAGCCGATGTATTTTATCTTAACACCAGACCTCGGGTAATTGAAATTATTGGGATGTGTGAAATTTGAAGACAATCGAACTCTTATATTGTATATTATCCATTTTCGGACCTGACCTACAACTGAAGCAAATATTCGGATTTGCAAAGTTGGAGCAAAATCGGATTATAGTTACTCTTTCGGTGCAGAAAATATATTCTTTGAAAATTTCGATCTTTTATGGGGAAGGTACCATATGTGGTTTATAAAAATAAAACTCTTTCAGAAGCGTTACCCCTTGAGATAGGAACCCTAGACCTTTGAATTTTGCTCCACTTAACTATAGCCTTTTATGGATGTTTGTTTTTTTTTTTAAATTTTGAAATCAAAACACACACAACTTACCTTTCACAACACTTACGATGATGCAGACAACTGTAGGGCGAGAGAGAGTGAGAGACCCGGTAGAGAGTTTAAGTACATCATATGAACTGATTGGAAGTCAGAGAGTGTTTTGCAATCTCAGCTTAGCATTCGAAGAGGGGTACTCAAAACCAAGGAGGGAAATGGATAGATGGGGAAAACAGTTCCGACAGATCGGTAAATAGAATAGATACATAGGTAGTACGATTGTAGAATGAAAATGTGAAGCGAGCGAGAGAGAGAGACAGCGAGAGTAGTGATAGTTGCAAAACTTTTTGACGAGATGTAGTTGTTGTTATAGTAAAGCCTTCCTTCCATATTCTCTTCTTGTTGTTCTTTTATTACTTCTTTTTCCAATTTCTTTTTCGCATGTTTAAGTGACTGACTTTAGAGTAGGTTTGGGGGGGTGTGTGTGTATGGTTGTTGGTTTGGTTTTTTGCTGATTGGTGACTTAGAATTATCCATTGATTGAATTCGCATTGGAACTGGCTAAGGCATTTGCCGCTTCGGCTGCCTGTTGAGACAATGTCTTTTGATGATCCTCCTCGGCCGGTGACGGCGAGGCATCACGCCGTGGCGGCATACGTTCATTGACCGCATCCAAACCTTTGGCTTCGGCGAATGAGGCGATTTTGTGATTTGGCGAGAAGCCCTGCATGGCATTCGTCAGCGATTTCTTGCCACCCGACAAGGCTCCCAGGGGCAGGGCTCCAGTGGGCGTCAGACCCTTAAGCTGTAGCACAGATTCGGATTCCTCACGCAACACGGAGAAGACACGCGCCATTTTACCAATGGCCCGGATCTTATTGCGTATGACCTCTTTGCGGGCCGCAGCCTCATCATCCGAGCAGGGCTCATCCTGTTCGCTCATCAACTCATCGTCCGAACAGATATTCAAGACATTCATCAGCATCTCTGTCACCTTCTCGCCCACGAACGGCAACGACCAGGTGAAGACATCCATGAAATTCGGAAGCCAATAGGGATGGGGCGAACAATTGAATTGGCGGATGTTCATGACATTGTTCTCGTACTTCAAGACCGCCGCCTTGTTGTTGTACACATCCAAATAGTTGGGCGCCGAGAAGATGGTGATGAGCGATGGAAATCCTGTCGTCTGCGATTTGCGATACATACGATAGCCGGCGTCCTGCGCCTCGTGGGCCCGTATTATCGACAGCAGATTGTTGTTCTGGAGAAAGTCACAGCAAGCCGCATAGCTATAGAAATATGAACAGCCCCTCACCGAGTTGTGCGTATAGAAATCGGAATTCTTCTCGTTGCCGAAATCCTCCAGCGGATCGGACCACAGCAGATCGCACATGGGTCCGAAGGCTGGGGGCTCCTTGAAACGATCCAAGCGGCGTATGTCATCGAGTTCATGGATCTCTGGCGACAACCCGCCATGGACACAAAGGAACTGTTGGTTCATGAGAGCCGCCAGCGGCAAACAATCAAATGCTTCCATACAGGCATCGTATACTCGTTCCGAGTATTTCATCTTGCACTCCTGTTTGAATGTGAAGTATTCGGTTAAGTGGCGGCACTCGTGGTTGCCGCGCAGCAAAAACAAAGTTGTGGGATAGGTGATCTTCAGCGACCACAGATAGAGAACACACTCAATGCTGAAATAGCCTCGGTCCACATAATCGCCCAAGAACAGGTATTTTGTGGTGGCCGGCGAGCCGCCAATTTCGAACAGCTTCATCAGATCATAGAACTGGCCATGGATGTCGCCGCACACCGTGACCGGGGCCTCAATGTCGATCATGGTCTTCTCCTGTCTCAGTAAGGCGGCACCGTCGCGTATAATTCGCAAGGCGGCATCCTCCTCGATGCGCCCCTCCAAAATGAAGTGTTGCTTGAGCACATCGTGATGGGGTTTGCCGGTCCGCGGATCGAAGATGTCGGCTGAGGTTAGCTTGCGACTTGGCGGAAAGGGGACACTGTCAATGACGCGATCTTTGGTATTCAATGGCGGCTTCTTGATGGGGCTGTCATGGACATTGTTGCCGGTTTGTGTGGTGCCACCACCACCGCCGCCGCCTCCGCTGCCAGCTGCTGAGGCTGCGGCTTTGTTTGAATTTACGGCTGTTTGTTTGTCATGTATGTTGTTGTTGCCGCTGCTGGTTGCCGCTGAAGTTTTCTGTTGCTGCTGTGTTGATGGTGGATGTTGGGTGGCTGGTGAAGACATGTCGTCGCTGCTGTTTTGTTTATGGCCTAAAGAAGAAGGATGGCGATGCTGATGATGATGACGATGCTGGTGATTTTCTTAAAATACTTTGCTTATTCTTCCGCTCGCCGTTTAAAGGGAGGATTCCAGCCAATAAATTAGTTATGAAAAATAATACTTTTTTATTTCACGTTCCAAAATTAAGGGCTGGCTGGTTGCTTGCTTGCTTGCTCTTGCTTTTGGCTGCGGGGTATATGTGTGTGTGTTTTTTCTTCTTCTTCTTCTTGTTTTAAAGCTTTGTTTCCTTTGTTTCGGTTCGATTCGATTCGGGGTTTGTATCTCCTTTTTTTTTGGTGTATTTTCACTTAATTCGTTATATGCGTTTTGAACTTTTAAAATATACGTTTTCCTTTAACTTTGATCGCCTCAAGGCTTTTGGTTTTCGTTTGTGTTTGTGTTTGTGTTACTTCTCCCGTTGCCAGTCCTTTGATGCAGGGGCAAAGCAACGCTTCTTCTTCTTTCCTTTCCTATGACAATTCGCCAAAACTTTCTTTTTTCTTCCAAGGCAAAAACAAGGAAAGCAAATATGATTCTCCTTGTACGTGTCTATATATCTACTATGTATGTGTGTTCTGTGTTGGTGTATAGAAAATGTATTTTGCTAAGCTATACAAACGTCACAGTGACCTGTAAAGAAAGGAGAAAAAAGAGAGAGGAGAAGGAGAGAAACAACATTAAAACAAATGGCATAAAAAGTTAATGCAATTCTAAAAAAGGAAATATTTAAAATAAACTTTTTTATAGTCATCACGTTGGGCGCCATTTATTTTTTTTTTGCTGAAATTGCAATATTCCATAATTTATTTATATTAAATTACTTCAGACCCATTATTTTAATTTAAATATCTATATTGGGCGCCATTTTCCAACCTCTTTTTAAACACCCTTATATTAGTTGTAGTAGAAGTCACCGTGTTGGGCGCCAATTACTATTCTGCGCATGAAATGACATTATTGCAAATTTTTTTATGTCAACATACTTCAGCCCCATGTTGGGCGCCATTTTACAATCCTTTCAATCACCATTATTTTAGTATAAAATATTTATATAATTTTCTTCCACCACACATTGGGCGCCATTTTCCAATCTCCCTATAAACACCTTTATATTAGTTGTATTAGAAGTCATCGCGTTGGGCGCCATTTACTATTGAACGCTTGAAGTGACATTATTGTATATTTTTATAAACTCCCACATAGTATAGAGGGTTTATTAAGTTTGCCATTCCGTTTGTAACACCTCGAAATATACATTTAAGACCCCACAAAGTATATATATTCTTGATCAGCATAAAATTCTTTGTCGATTTAGCGATGTCCGTCCGTCTGTCCGTCTGTGGACATCACTCTAGCTTCCGAACGAAATGAAATAGGTTGATACAATTTTACTCAAATGTGTATTATGTTTGCAAAGCTTTTGGTATTGAAAATGGGCCATGTAGGTCCACACCCCCATATAATGGTACCTCCCTATTTTCGGTATGTTGATGATTTAAGCGACATTTTTCACCGAAAATGTTTCAAATTTGGTATTTGAAGTTCATCATAGATACTACAGAAAATTGTTGGAAATTGTCTGTGCAGGTCCAAGCCCCCATGTAATGGTACCTCCCGATATTCGGTATTTTGATGATTTTAGGTACATTATTCTCCGAAATTGTTTGAAATTTCGTATTTGATGTTCGTAATGGATACTACAGCCTAAGAGAGAAAATTGTCTGAGCAGTTCCACGTCTTCGTATAGCCCCCATATAACGGTACCTCCTGATATTTGGTATTTTGATGATTTTAGCCACAATATTTACCGGAATTGTTTCAAATTTGGTATTTGAAATTCGTAATGGATACTACAGCCTATGAGGGAAAATTGTCTGTGCAGGTCCACGTCTTCGTATAGCCTCCATATAACGGTACCTCCCGATATTTGGTATTTTGTTGATTTTAGCGACATAATTCACAGGAATTGTTTCAAATTTAGTATTTGAAGTTCGTAATAGATACTAAAGCCTAAGAGAGAAAATTGTCTGGGCAGGTCAACGTCTTCGTATAGCCCCCATATAACGGTACCTTCCGATATTCGGTATTTTCATGATTTTAGCGTCATTGTTCACCAATTTTTTTTAAGTTCCGGATTTGAATATTGTAATGGCTTATGACAAAGTTGCCTATGGAGGTCCACGCCACCATATAGACCCTAATATAACGGCTAAATTCGTATTTTTAAGATTTTAACTGAATTTCGAAGGGATTTTATTTATTTTATTTTTGAAAATTTCCAAATTCGTTTCAAACGGTGGAGGGTATTCAAACTTCGGCCGGGCGAACTTACAGCTTTTTTACTTGTTTCATATAAAATAACTTCAGTCCCATGATGGGCGCTATTTTACCAACCCTCAAAACCGCATTATTTTAGTATAACACTGTTCATAGTTTATGTAATTTTTTTATCTACCCCGCATTGGGCGCCATTTTCTAAACTCCCTTTAAAGTCCCAAAATGAAATATATTTTTTTTCAGTCACCACGTTGGGCGCCATTTACAATTCTTAGCTTGAAATTATATAATTGTTAATTCAAAATAATTTAAGCCGACGTTGGGCGCCATTTTACCACCCTTAAAAACATCACTATTTTAGTATAACACAGTTCATCTCTTATATATTTTTTTTATTGACCACAAGTTTCCAATTATTCAAAATGGAAATATTGAAAATATTTTTTCAGCAACCGCGTTGGGCGCCATTTACTGTTAAGCACTTGAAATTATATTTCTTCATATAAAATTACTTCAGAACCAAGTTTAGCGCCATTTAACTGTCCTTTTAAACTCCTTCATTTCGGAATGACACTTTTCATTTTTTTTTTATAAAAAGTTTTTCTACCCCACATTGGGCGGTATTTTCCAACCGTCCTTTAAACATTATTATTTTAGTATATTACTGTTCATAAGGAAATATTTAAAATATTTTCTTTTTTCAGTCACCACGTTGGGCCCAATTTACTATCCTGCGTTTAAAATTACGTTATCGTTCATTGTTTATATAAGCCTTGTATTGGACGCCATTTTACCTTTTATACCCTTTCCATACTTTAAAACACCATTATTTTTATCTAACGCACATTGGGCGCCATTTCCAGACCTCCATTTAACCACCAATATTTATGTATAACACTGTCAAAATGAAATATTTAAAATATTTTTTTTTTCAGTCACCGCGTTGGGCGCCATTTACTAGTCAGTGCTTGAAATTACGATATCGTTTATTTGTTTATATAAAATGACTTCATAATTAATTTGGGCGCCATTTACTAACCTTTTAAACACCTATACTTTGCAAAACACTGTTCATTTTTTTATAAAAAGTATTCCTACCCCACATTGGGCGCCATTTTCCTACTTCCCCCTTAAAATCGCATTATTTAAATCCCAACTTCCCTTTAAACGTCATTATATTGACGCAACACTGTAGTCTTATACAATTTTTTCTACACCACATTGGGCGCCATTTTCCACCTCACCCCCACTAAAATCGCATTATTCAAATCTCAACTTGTCCATGACCCTGCTAGGTAGTCTGCCATCCAGCCAACCATCAAGGCAATCTAATTTACATATTGTAATATGTGTTTTTAAAGTACTTCGACGCTTTCCGTCCGTTCAACTCACTGGATATTCGTGTCTAATTGGCTTTATGTAGTCATTATCTTCTAATTAATTGACAAAAAACAACAGCAACAACAACAATGACTCCTACAAGGAAAGTCATTATTGTTTAACTTTTATTTGACCACTAGAGGCTAGACACCAGGCAACCATCATAGTCATCACCAGCAAAATTTGGCCTCTAATTACAAATTTTGGTGTTGTTGTTATTTTTCTTGTTGTAAAATAGTGAAGGCCAAATAAGTAAGAGATTGTGTGTGTTTTTTAAGAAATATTCAAGTTATTTGCATATACCAGGAACAATGAAGGACATAATTGATCACAAAATAGATGAGAATAATCTTATATAAAGCATAGAAGTCGATTTAAAATTTTCTTTTAGATATACAAAGAAGAGATATAACACTGAAGGACAGGAAGGATAACACTCTTTCTCTGTTCCAGAACCTAAAAGAGTCCATTTTTTTTAATTTGCGTTTTTCAATATTATGAGATTAAATCTTCTTTCTATAGAAGACTTTTTGAAGGTCACTGCAACACATCAGGAAAACCCCTATATATTATGAAAGTAGAGGTAAACATAGAAGACACATATATCGACGTTTTGAAAGTTTGCATCGAAAAGTTACCCTCATTGCCACATTTTATTGAAATTTTCGGATTAAAATTTCTCGAAATCCTTACATATAAGGTGTATAGTGTCTTCGGCGATATTACTGATAACAATACCAGGATTATTTGAGTCGAAAACTTTAACACTTAAATGAGCCAATAAAGGGGTCTTTTTGGTCCTTTTTTTGAAAATATGGTTAAAAACTCCCTTTAAACGGAATCTTAGCAAGTCAAAATATTCTACAAAATGGTTTGTCATACAATTCTACTATCGGTTCTAGAAGACATCAAAAGTCTATATCTCACCAAAACACCAGGATTTCATATATATATAAAAAACACATTTTAGGGTTAAAGCCACACTTCATATGAGTTTATGGAAAATTACCCTGCAAAACACCATTTTAGAAGGATGACGTCAGAGACAAAATCATTCCTTATTATATGATACTATAAGCTCCCCATATCTATATTTCCATTTTATATCAATAAAATATTTGTTTCAATGTTTCTAAAAATGAAAAAAAGAAAATATTTCCTAATTTTTCTGATAAATTTTTATTTGGACTTTTTTCTATTTTACACCAGAAAGTAAGATAAAATTTTGTTTAAGGCGGAAGTTGTCAAAGGAACAAATATTCTACACAACACTTCACTGATAATCCCAGAATAAACCATATATCTGGGTGCAATATTTTTTTGTGAAAATCACATTCTAAATTTATGTACTGCATGTGAAAATTACGTATTTCCTTTTTACTGATAATTTAATACGTATCCAATCTAAGTCAAAATCTGCCATTACTCTTAATTTTTTTTGGGGAAAGTGTCAAAGGAAAAAATATTCTAAATCTTATTTCATTGCGGATCTCTGAACAAACGGAATTTGTATATTCAATATGTACCCTAAAAAATATCACGAATTTTTCTTAATAAAAAAACTTGATTATTTTTTTTGAAGAATTTAGCATTTCTTCTAATAACTTCTCTGAAATTAATAATATTTTTTCATGGTAAATATTGTATATACTAATTTCGTTTGTTCAGAGACCCCTAATGAAATTTGATCTAGTATAATTCTTCCTTTGACACTTTCCTCAAAAAATTAAGTTTAAAGGTAGATTTTGAATCGGAATGAAAACGTGTTTAATTTTGCAGTAACAATGTCAATACATAATTCCACTTATATGACATACATTTCGGATGTAATTTTTTTGAAAACTATTATAGCTAGATATATAGTTTATTCTGAGACTTATAGTGAAATGTGGTTAAGAACATTCCCTCTTTTGACAGCTCTTACCTAAAATAATATTTTATAGTACTTTCAGGCGTCAACTCGAAAAAAGTTT